GCTTACTGTTGCTTGACTCAATTATCTCTATCTTCAATCTATCTGCATATCTATCTCTGTCACTGGCTTTATTTGCCAGACTTATATACTAAAAAAGAGGGAGCCTGGCAAATACTCAGACAATCGCGGAGTTCCTCGATAATTCATGATCCTTCTAGAAACTCCAGCGCGCATGCTCCCAGCATCGCGTGACTTCCACTGTCATAGCAATATCTTTATAATTCATGTCATTTAATTAAAAAGTGTAGTCACTATGAACAGTCATTGCAATCTAACACTGATATAACTCACTTAAAATGAAAGTGTTAATAAGGTTATATTTTTTCAGCCACTCCTTTGAAAACAGCTGTTTTCTGGACATCTTTAGTATCTGGTGTCACTTGATGGAATGTGACATGTTTCCCAACATCATCCCATATACACTCAACTGGACTGAAGGCCACCCCACTTGATCAATCTTTTCTTGTTCTTCAAGGAATGTGTCTACCTATTTAGCATGGGGGAGGGGAGGTAGGAATTATCATCTATTAGGCTGAAGTTGGGGCCGGTTGCACCAGCATGGGATTACACAAGGGATATAGGATGTACTTATCACATGTGGCATTAATGATATCATTCTCACGATGTAGAGATTGATACAGCTGTCATGGGTAGAAAGCCTATATAATCACTTAGATCTAACTATATATATAATAGATACACATACACACATAGACACTCACTAACTAGCTGAAGGACTATTTTCTGTGCTGGTAGTGGTTGGAATTCCATCCTAGGCCTTCTAGTCAGCTATATTATCCACTCAACTGGGGTATCACCCAAAAGAACTTGAACCAACTAACTATTTGAATGTTCTCCTGAAGAAGAATAGTCAACTAATCGAAAGCGCTCGAGTTTTGGGTCTTATTTTAAGTTTATTACACTTTATATGTGATCCTTTGTGCTAACTCTTTTTTCAAGATGGGAGTCCAGGCTTTGCTGACTTCTATGCTAAGTTGACTGAGTGTGTTATCAGTTAGGTGGATATAGAAGGCTTCTTTTATTTTTATTATGGGTAATCTATGTCCTATTCTTTCAGCATTATTCCAATATAATGTATGATCTTCTACTTTGACATGATCGACTATTGTGGATAGATTGGTATTAGAGAGTCTTGTATGTCTAATATGCTTCTTAATTTTAACTCTTGTTTATTTTTTTGTTAAACCAATGTATTGGTAACCACATTCACAGGAGATACTGCAAATGGTGCTTTCTCTCTCCATTAGGTCTTTAAGTGGTTTGGTATACACTAATTATGATCCTGTTGCATTGTGAATAATGCATCAGACTTCCATCAGAAATGCCTAGGATCAATTCCTGGTTACTACCATGACATAAAATAGTTCTTCACAAGACATTCCTGAGGACAGCAGTAGATGAGCAGCCACAAAATAGAATAAAAAACTAGTTAGCAATAAGTATCTAATTATTTTAAATAATTAATAATTAGAATTAGGTGACTGTATAGGCTCCAAACCATGACAATGACTGATATCTAATTACCACAATCTTACAGTAAATACTTAAGATTTTGATATATTCACCAATGCTTCATATCTTCTCGCATCGTATTTCATCATCATCATAAGCATCATATGCCTGTGTGAAAACAAAGTAATTTTCTTCCTAAATTTCCACCAAGTAAGTATAAGCTTGTTGTCTGGATGTAGGATGAAGTGCAAGTAATCTGTGAAAAGCAAACTGGTACACTGGATATATTGTTGGCATAATTGCATGGAAACTATTTTATGCCTTGCTATAAACAAAATGCATCTCATTTGGGTATTTGACAACAGATCAGTTTTCGAAGTTTGTTCCTAATCATCTATTTACTCACACATCATCCAGTTGTAACTGTGAGTATCCAATTCAATCAAGTAGTCTGTACCCTAACACCACAGCAAGTCAGGTTCCATAGATAGCAGTCACATTCATGGGTCATGGACAAAAGTCTGCATTGTCAGTTGTCTGAACAACTGTGCAATTGGTTTTAAGCAATTCTGTATTCTGCTAACAACATTTTAAGCCACCTGGAGTCAACTTAAAAAATTATCCTGTTATAATTGGCTGTCTTTAATTTGTCTGATGGCTTGTCATATGAATAAACTATCGAAAGGTCTTCTCTGAGACCTATCCCTGGTTTATGAACAATTTCATGAACTTTAAATTCTCTTATTCCCTTCAAAGTAATGACTGAGATGACTGATCTTACTATTTGGGTTGACTGATCAATAATTTGAGTTTATGATCATATTACTGATCATCAGATGCCTGATTCCTATAAAAATTATATTTTTTTTTGTGCTGGATGTTCACTCAAAGCTACACATGGACTACCATAGTTTTGAAATAATAGACTAGCAGGAATATAGCTAATCAACAGCATCACACTGCCAAACTAATCAGATAGTGGGATTTGAACCACTACTGTTATAATCCACCCACAACCCATAAAGTACAGAGCATATTTTATTTATTTTTACCCTTACAGTGACAGGACTCAAACTATAGATTTTCAGATACACAGTACAGAACATTATTCACTAAGCAATGCCCAGCTCACATACAAAAAGGAAATTATATGATTTTATAATAGTGGTTTTTGCCTTGCATTAATGAGAATTTGTAATATTATAGCTATGTTTTAACTAGTTTGTGAAACATATTGACTACATGCAGTGGAGATAAATTATTCTAGGATAATCTGCAAGCTTTAAGCAGTTACTGTCCAAACCATTTTGATGTTTTTTTCCTACCTAAAATTATGAAATAATAATTAATTGCTGTATATATTCATAGATGCAATGCAAAAATTGCTTTGAACTTTTTACCCTTCTATACTTTTACTTGGATCAAATTTTCATATTTAATTCATCTTATCAATTGTTTTCATTAATTCTTTACATATTTATTTTGGCTAAATTTGTCCTGTCAGTATACTTAATACATGATATATATCTGAAAACAGTTTAAAACTTAATTTACGTGGTTTGGGGTAATTAGTTGTATATTACAAAAGTTTAGAGGCTTTACAAGGTTTTAAAAATGGTGTTGTTTTTTTAGAAGCTAACTGACAAAAACAATGAAGCAAAATTTGCTCAGCATCAACTTTAAAGTAAAGCTTAATACTTACAACTTATATTGACTGAAATTTTGTCTTTCCAATTGCTATTCATAATGCATATCAACAAAACGTCTATGATAATCTCAAAAACAAAACTAGTAAACAAGGCTTTGCATAAACATTTTAAAATAATTAACAAAGTTATCAAGTTTGAAACTTCAATGAATTTATAAAATATATAACTGTTGAAATGTAACCTTTAATACTTTTATTCTTTAAGGTAATACACTTGTTTCTGAGATTAATTCATTAATATTTTCTTATTTAGAAATTAAAACTAATGTAAAATATTATGCATAGTAATACACATTCTTTTAGATAATAAGATCAAAAATAAAGTGTTACACATAAAAGACAGAGAAATACACAAACTAAAGTGCAAATTACAATGTAAGTAAAATATATCTTAGTACGACAGATATCTGTTAAAGCAAGACTCGGACGTAAGGATACACATAATTGTTATTTTACATTAAAATATATAACTACAAGTAAATAAGAGTTTACTTTAATTTGCATAATCAAAAATCACAATTCAATAAAACAAAACAGTTTTAACTAATGTATATAATGACCGGGCTTTGAAAATCATAACCTTTAATTTTTAATTAACCACGAAAATAATAAATAAAAAAATTATGTGTCTTATTATACAACACAACAAGCATAGTTAAAGGAAGTGCATATTTCTATGAAAAAACATTATAGCAAGTACCTTACCATTCCAAATTTATGAAACACAAGATAATGCTCTGCTGTAGCATGCATGCCAATAGTTTGCAGCTTCCAGTTCATGACCTGTTAGAGTAACATTTTATTATAATATTATATACACATTTGTGAGCTTCATTTTCACAATCGTTGTAGCCAAACCTAATTTTAAAGAAGCTAACCTATAAGACTATTTTAGATGTTGCGTAATGTACAATCAGATGTCATATTTTAACTAAAGGGTTCAATAACTAGTGATAAGCAGACCCAATTCTTCATTAATACCAATAACTGAGCCAAAACTAATCAAATATGCCAATTAATATAATAAGCATTTTCTGTAAGTGGCACCCCTTTGTGTGAATGAAGAGAAGTCAACTATACAAAAAGTTTTTACAACAATCCAATGAGAGCTGAAGGAACATTACTCTCAGTTTTCTCTTATCACCAAATCATGGTGTATCACATATATAAGAAAATTATGTTAAATTTATTAACATAGATTTCTGAATGTCTCTGTAAATAAATTACTAATATTGATAAAAGTTAATTGAAACTGTTGACTGGAGTCTACAGACTACTGCAATATTCATAATTCAAGTTATAATAAAATTACAATTGAATAATTAACTGAGCATAATGACTTTTTACTGAATTCTTATGGCAATAAATGAGATCTTTACTGCTACTGTTTTTGATTAGAAAGATTTTTTTTTTTACACACCTTGTCATTGAAGTACTCCATCACTCCTGCTACTGTTGAAGTGCAATGAAGTAAAATGTTTCCAAGACATCGATCAGGAAATGCCATCTGCAAATAAAATTATATGTTTTACATAAAGCTGGTCTTTAAGAGAATATCTGCAGTGAATATACTAAGCTTAGAATGATAAAACTGAAAATACCTGAAATTGCAAAAGAAAAATAACCATAACCTTAGTGTCATTAAACTATTCCTTATGGTAACTACTAGTAAAATCAATCTTGACATGCTATACATATACAGCACTTCTCTTTACAAATGTATCTGTAGCATGCAGCAGTTCACATCATACTACAAAAATAGTTTGACCAGAACTAAGCCTGCAACCGATCTCCGTATTGGATGTCGATACTAATCTCCGACCTAAAGAATTCCCCAATGCTTTTAAATCCAATTTTTAAGAAGATTGGATCAGTAAGTTTATTTACCTATGAAAATGCACGATACATTCAGGTGTCTTTGCAATGGAGTTGGTGCAATGTATCCTAAAATGAGGTAAATCACAGAGAAGTGAAAAGAAATATAAGTGACTGTCAGTTGAAGACATGTCATGTATTTTCAATATAGTTTCATTTGCCATACAGTATCCTAGCATCACTCGAAAAGTGCCTTTATTTTTGGTATTCACAACTGTTACAAGGTAAACTTCCTCCTTCTTGTTCTTGTTGCAGAGAGGTTTGTTATTGAGTGTGCACTGAAGATGCGCATATGGCCTGTACTATCAGTGACCACGGTGTTGTAGTTGTCATCACCAATGTCCAGTGTGGCATCAGAAAGGATATTTTCATTGGAATGAGACATCATCACAAAGAAGATGTGTGTGATGTTGTCCCAGAACTTGAACTATCTCACCATCATATCATAAGACTCTCATAGTGATTCTTCTTTTTTTTGTCAGAAAAACATAATGTGTATTTTGTTCAATACACCATCACATTTATGAAATATCTGTGGATATAGTCTGAGCTCAGGATGTACTTTATTTGCCTTCCATAATACAGGTTTTCTCCTTGAATGTTTTTTTTATTTGTTTAAAGGTTTACAGAAAAATGAATATAAGCGGAATAGTTCTTCAACTTCATCTAATATATATATATACATGTGTGTGTTTTGCATTCCGATGAAAAAGTGTCTTTTTTGTAGTCTGATAAGTGCATGATTTCTGACAAACAAGCAATGAATCACCTAGTATATACCTCAGCTGATAGCTTGTGATTCAAAACTGAGGCATATGGAGTGCCTTGGTTGTTGCTATATCTTAATCAGCCCAAGATCACAGAAATTAAGCCAAAAGCTATAACTTGAAAAATCATAACACTAAGAAAAATAAATAAAAACCCTGAAGAATCAAGATCATGTTTCTTTTTTTTTCTTTTTTTACTTGTAGCCAAATCAACCTATCAAACCTTTGTTGAGAGGATTAAGTAAAACATCTCACACACAAAAATAAGTACAAAATCAGTAGAACTAACCAATATATATAATCTTGACTCACTAGCACAAAAATTTAAAATATCCCAAAAATGTGAACACTCATACAGAACTTAACACAAATTATAAATAAGTAATGAATGTTTTAACAATATTTTTTTTTTGAAAGAATGAAAAACATCTAAAGTAAATCTTTTCACTTAATGATATTGACTAAATGTTAGTGATGATCTAAACTGAAGACACACTAGAAAACTGTAAACAGAAATAACCTGTGAAGTGAAAAATAATCATAACTTCAAAAAATTTGGTTTCAATTAGGAATTCAGTAAAAAGTTATCTTTCTACATTTCTATTTTCAGAGTGAAAAACTACTCACAGCAAATCTTGCAAGAATATTGGCCCCAGCTCCTTCACCAAAAGTCACAACATACTTGACTCTGAAAATGAAATTAACAATTTTCTTAAAACTCAGATTCAGCTTTACAATCAATGCTTCTAACCAAAAGCACAAAGTATGCTACTATCTAATAAATTCTAAAACAGGATTTACAACTCATTTCAGTAGTTTCTAAATGTACACTTTTAAAAAGTGAGACAGTAAAATACACCCAAATGTACTGAAAATTGTTACAAAAGATCTTTATATCTACAAAGAAGGGCTTAAATTTAACAGTCCTGCAGCTCTACACATACTAGCCATTTTAGCTATGAGTATGTGCAAGAACTAACTTCAACAAAACTAGTTAGTCAATAATCACAGATTACAGTGCATACAGTACTGTTATTGTTAATCAATACTATTTAAGCAAATTGTATAAATATATAGCTAAAAAACATACTTACTGAAAGTAATCAAGGACAGAAACAATATCTTCTGCAATTTGTTGCATGGATGGAAAGGTAAAACTGGAACATAATGTTACAAGATTTAAAGTCAGAACTGTATATAAATTTAATTTTATAAAGTGCAGAAACTATGCCAAAACTTTATCACATTTGACTTCAATTACATCAAAAATTGCACATCAGGATATATATATCTTTACACATTCATATTTAATTAAAAATATGGGCAAAGGCCTAATGAATGAACTGATTGAACAAATTCAGTGCTCTTCATTTAACAGAAACTGATGCTTACCTGTAATGGTCAATAATCACTAGATAGATGTGTAAAACAGTTAGAGAACATCAAATCATTTCCAGTATTATGCCTCTTAAACACACTCTTCAAGCTTGCATAAATCCTTTAAATCTTATTTTTGTAAAGTGCAGTCATAACCATTATAAGTAGAAAAGCAAATAACATCATTTTATTTGATGCTTACCAGTTGATGTTTCAAATAAATCTATATAATATGCTTGTCCTCTTACACTTTAATTACACTCTTTAATAAAGTAATTTAGCTGAAATGAGTAAATTGTACAAATCCTACCTTCTATCCCAACATCACATCTACAATAAAACATTAAAAATGGTATTTCACCAGTTAATCTTGCAATGCAATGACAAGTGAACTTTGATAGCCTTTATAGGAATAAATCCTATTTCTCCTGTATTTCTACTTTTTACATAAAATATTTTACTTTTACTTTACTTACTTCACTTTAGCTATAAATAAAGTTTGTATATAACTTGGTATATTCTCTCATCACATATTATGAGCTAACATAAAACAAATCTACCCTATATGTTTTAACCATACTAGCTTTGTACTTTAAATACCTTTTGTAGGCGGTACTGGTATCAAGTGGAATCTTTTCTGTTTTCTTACACAGAAAATTTCCAACTCATTTACAGAGAAGAATAGGTTAGTTTAGTCAGTTTGCTTCAACATTCCTTAATAGTTTATCCTAGTCATTATATATATATATCCTTATCTAATTTAACTGTATTTGCATTAGATATATATATAGCTAGCACAGCTGACTCCCTCTGTAATGTAGATCACGCTAATCATTTTGAGATGAGGCAAGAAAAGGCACATCAGAAGTTGGGAGGATGGGTGGAAAATGTACGAGGAGGCAAGTATCTATCGGAAATACATTATCAGTGTTGGAAAAATTTTAATTTCCAATATGATACCTTGCATCCTCTCACATAATAGCTAGAATTCCACATTGAAATGTAGGAGAGACCAGTGCAAAGTTTATCTAGATGAGCCCCCTTCGGAAAGTGCCTGAAGAAAACCCATTGAACATGATACCCTAAAACATAGGGTCACACAAATGGGAGACTGCACCTCATCTGTACCAGAGTATATTATTCACCCACAATGAAGATACATGTTGTCAAGCCAAGTGTAAAGGAAGTTAATCCAATTTTGGAAGTGGATGTGCCAGATGGTGTAGAGTGGCTAGGGTGCATCAGACTATACTCAGTGGGTCAACTCCAGTCGAAAACCAGGCAACATTGAGTATGTGTCTTCCAGTCTATAGTAGGAGGAGGGTCCCAACTGTCTCCACCTTAAGACCAGGAAGCAGAATGGAAAAGCAACTTCTGAACCTGCAATCTAGACAGAGCACATGTGTGCAGACACAACCAACACCAGGCCACCCAGGAACCTAACATCCAGGAAGGGGGGAATGCAACCATGGTGGTCAACTCCAGTCCAAAACCAGGTGGCATCTGGAATTTTTCATATGGTCCACAGTAGGAAGAGGGTCCCTACCAACCACATGTGTGAGGACTTACATTTACTGGTCCTGTACCAATCTAACATGAGACCACCTGGGAACTGGCATGCAAGCAGTAGTAGGATGGGGAAAAGCTAGCTGGAGGGGTGAACTGCATGTGGCAGATTCATCCAGTCCAAAACGAGGCAGCATCAGGTATGTGTCTTCCTGTCCATGGTGGGAGGAGAGTACACACCATCTACACCAACACAATACCTCCGCCATACTCTCAACTGAGTGGAAGTGGTCACACTCAGGAGGAAGCCTCCATGGTCCACTACCCCAGTGGCTAGAAACTGGTAAGTGGCATGGACTCCCATACTCCATTTGAAGAAGGGGAAAGAATGCAGTAGGTAGTCCAGAGGAATGCAACACATCAAGACTGTGCAATGGGTGACCCTATAAACCCTATTCTGAAAAGAAGGCCAGTCCCGGTTTATTCAACTAGGACCAGAAGGATGGGCAGCAATACTGACACTGCTTTATTCATGGTAGCTCATTAGTTGTTACAGTCTGGAACAGACCTTATATATGAAGCAATATACTGTGAGAAACCCTTGAGCAGTTTTGTGAAGCACCCCATCTCATCAGTAAGTGTTATAGACCTTAAAGGTTGCATGGTGCAGATTTCAAGTTAAGTATACCCAGACAGACACCACTCATCACTGAGTGGAATCTAGAGATGTAGAAATAGGCCACTGTAAAGGGAAGATATATATAAAAAGAACTTATGCAGTTAGAGTTGGGAAGTGATATAGAATGGCAATGGGAGGAAGCTGATATCCTGAAGAAGAAGAGACTGCGGGTGATAAATATAATGTGTGACAAAAGTATGAAGGGCAGTCCACATGCAAGCCTGCACAAACCCCACCAACAGATGACGGAAGTGAGCAGCCAGATAGAGAGTAAGGTCATGGATTTGGCAAGAGAAGACCTATATGAGTCAGTGTAAATCTAGATCCAATGAAGCATAGGATAAATGGATGAACTGCTTGAGTATAATGGGAGAAATATCTCAAGGAGATAAGGAATTCTACAGAATAAATGGATGGGAGCATGAACTGTGAAAAATAGTAATGCAGGCCAAATAACAATGAACTGCACAGATGGGGCAGAGAAAATGACCAGGAACAGAACAAAAATATAAGGGAGAAATGGAAGGAAGGGAAATAGGAATGAAAGCACTTTCCCCTTCAAGAGCCACAGATGTTTTAGAGCAAAAAGCATGAGCAGGATAACGAAGAATATAAGAACCATGGGAAAGAATATGGGAAACATCAATGAAAAACACATCAGATCTTCTATGACCACAGGCAAAAAGGAAGAAATATATGGAAGAGTGAAAGAGGAGTGAAGTTGGAGAAGTAGGGAGAGTGACACAGGTAGAAGGAGGAGAGGAGCAGAAAAGTTTCAATAGAAAAAAACCATGACTGAGCCAGCCAGTGCAGTGAGCAGGAGAACTTGACATGGAGTGACCAGAATGACAGAAAGCACATGAGGGAGAAGATAAATAGGAGGGTAAGTAAGGAGAAAGAAATTGGACCAGTCCCAAGTGAACAGGACTGCATGATCTGAGGGATGATAAACTGGGGACTAGAAAAGGGGAAGTATAGTGTTGAGATGACTGGCAAAAGTATCAAGAAGAGGAGTTGAGTGCCCAGACAATAGTACACCCATTGCAACACCAGAGGATCAAGGGACTACTCCATAGGTAGTATTCTGCTGGGCCGGAAAAGACAATCCACTACAAAAATCAGGGCACCTGGAATATGACAAGCTATTACATGTATATGCAAAGAAAGGGTCCAGAAAAAGAGGTTGAGAGCAAGTAAACAGAAAGAGTGAGACAGGGTACTTCTCCAGCGATTGATATAAGAAACAACAGCAGATTTGTCTGTATGGATCATCACCAGATGTCCACAAACCATTAAAAGAAAATGATTCAAAGTCTAGCATGCTGCCAAAAACTCTATGAGAGAACTGGAAGGAATAAATCGTCACACGACCACTGACCTGAAATCAAATGAGTGTTGAGACATGCCCCCATCTTGTCAATGTGACATCTGGAAACAGATGGAGACCTGGATAAGATGAAGGAAGAAAAACACCCTCTATGGTATTGGGTGTATAATTCACCAGGTTAAGGCTTCAAGTAAGGAAAGAAAATGATGGAGGAAAAGGGAACCCAAGTGAGGAACCAGTGATTATGCAGAGTCCATTGTAGACCTCACAAATGAGCACAACCCATGGGAACCTCCCTCACAGTGAAAGAAGAAGAGGACAGAGCATGAGAAACTAATCACTCCCTGTCCCTCAAAAGAAGAAAAGACTGGGCCCTGTGGGGATGTGAACAGAAAAACACCGAAATGAATGAGAAACTACATAGGTGTGAAAAGCAACTTCTCAAGGTTGACCAACTGACCCAGACTTGCTGCCTCCCTAATGAGAAGAAAAGGATGGCTGTAGGAGACTTGTTGGGATGGTGGCAAATGAGTAAAGACACATCTGAGAAGTCCACCATGATCATCCTAAAACTCGGGGAAAAGACCACCATTGGGTAAGAAAAGTCCCCATGGTAAATCAAGGGAGGTTGAGAAATTGATTGAAATATAAAATGACTAATACCAGATGTCTAGCTATGGATTCCTCAGGAACCACAAAAAGATGGGTAATAAATACCATATGAAAGTATGAGAAACCCATATTTGGCCATTAGATCTACCACTGCCATGGACATAGGCAAGAAACAAGATCTTTGGGAGGAGGGAAGATAACAGAAACAGAAGACAGAGGAGTAAGAGAGGAAAAACAACAAAGGGTAAGGCTCTCTGACAGAACACTCCCAGGACTCCAAATTGGCTGCAAAGGGAGTGCAAAGGTTGGTAAACCAAAAGGAAACAGGACCCACCGACCCCGAGCCTATGGGATAGTCACTGCAAAGACTGACAGCACTGAAGTGTACAAGCAGTAGGAAGACAAGTGGAAACAGAGGAACAGGAAGTGGTGACAGGGAGAGAAGAGGAAGCAGGAGGAAATGAGACAGAGAAAGGCAAAGAAGGAGCATGAGAAAGTCAGTAAAATAGCAAGGATAAGGAAGAACATTGACATGCAGCCACAACATATGACCCCAGAGAAACAAGCATCCCAGTAAAATTGCATAGGCAGATGAAAGGAGCCAGATGAACGCATATGAGAGAAAAGAAGGCAAAAGGACTTGTAGAACAAGGACA